ACACTCGGGATATGGTTTCACGTAAAGATTATAAAATCTCAACCTACTAAACTTAACCAAAGACCTCAACCCGATCTCATCACCTATCCCGCCTTTTGATCTCAAATGTTCGATCACATTGTAACGAGGAACAATCTGTTTCTCAAAATGTACCCCCAAATACTCGGGAACTTCAWCCAGCGAAAGAACATCAAAYTTCATCGTGTTTGTTAAAAACTCCATCTTTAAATCAATTTCCTTCAAATCATATAAAATCGCTCGTGGCTCTCTCCACAATACGCTAAATGCATCTCTATATAGCAACCCGTGTTTGTGTAAGCAATCGATCCTCAACTTAACTTCATAAGACGCCCTAAACGCCCCTTCACTGAAAAGCTTTTCTTTAATTGGAACCCTACATTTCAAACTGTTTAGCATTCTCAAACATTTTGACATTTCTCCGACTTCTGACCCCAGAATTTTCGGGTTTCTAATGATCTCTTCCCTAATTTCGTTTGGTGTAAAGCCCATGCCAGTAAACTCTGAAATCAGAGGCTTCAACTTGTTCTCCAACCCAGATGCCAAGATTCCCGGATAAGTTTGAATTATAGAGTCTATTTTACTCCGATGGATTCCAATTCCTAATAAGAACTCAATCTTAGACCAAATATTTTCTTCATTCATAGTAATAATCATAGGAAACTCCTGTAAAACTCTAGTTATTGTAGCAGAGCTAAACCTAAAACCCTTTAAACCCTCAATGCATCGTAAAACATCATCTGGGTATAAATCGAATTTCCTAGAAACTTCAAGAATACTCTGAATCATTATCAAGCTACCGTTGTCTGAAACCCCTAATTCAGAAACACCAACTTCCCATCCCTTGAGGAAATCAAGTTCTAAAACCCTAGGACAGTTATAAACCATGGAAACAATAGAATCCTTGGAAGAACACAAGGACGATAGGATTTTCAAAGACATTTCAACATCTGAAATGCTGGAATTGAGCAAAAATCGGTTCCTTGCGAAGAAATTATGAAGGTCAGAAGGTTGGAAGCCGTATCTTTGGAAAAGATTCGAAAGAGGCTCCGAATTGCTGCAGATTTTTGAAGAAAATTTAGAGATTTGATATGGGATTGGTTTGATGGATTTTGGGATTAAGAGGGTTCTGGCTATTATTCTAAATGCCATGATATCATKCCCAACTAGCAATATCCCCAGAAATGATCACATAAAAGAAAAGCCAAAAGGGTACGATATACCGGAAAACTAACTTGCATTATCGTTGAAGTAAAGTGGATTCACAAGTAAGACAGCAGGAAGTAGAATGATAAACTCAAGGTATATAGTTTTCRTTGAGAATAGTAATATATCAAGCAGCATTATAGGTTTAGGGTTTAGGAAAAAGAAATGTTCATATGCATGAGCATACGCTACCAGCTCTCGAATTTTTGAAGAGTTAGGTTCAAACAATCTTCTGTCCTGTAGTCAGCAAACAAATAATGAAATGCATCAATGTATTTGGACATAAAGGATGCTAAGAATACCCACATTATGCAAATAATGTRAAGTTTTTAAACAATGGATATCCATGAAAGGATGTGCAGATAACGGACTTATAACAAAGTTCGTTTGAGAACCGAGTCTGTTGATGCAGCATAACAAGTTTGCATGCTTTGAGCATGAGCATGTTCTCTGCTGATACATAATCTATTCAAATCTTGGGAGTGGCAGRGGACAAAATGTATAAAACTGTGACCTTTTCTTATGAACACCAAATGTTCGATAATATCCCCAATGATCTTAAGCTAGGGGTTGATTTATTCGCTAAGATGATCTTAAGSTAAAAGCAACCCTATTTTGAACTCACTTGATGTCATTGGGGAATATGATCGAACACTTGGTGTTCATGAAAAAAGATCACATTTTTATACAATTCATCCTCTCCCCCTCCCAAGATTTTAATAAATTTTGTATCAGCAGAGAGCATGCACATGCTACAAGCAGGTGCATCAACAGATTCGGATGGTAGAAAGCAAGGGCCTTCTACGACCATTTAGAAACCATGGTTTATTACACATAGAAATCACGGAACATACTAACCGAAAAACAGTTGAAATCAAACACAGAAATCACAAAGAAATCTAATAATGGAACATACCCAACTGAGAAGTCGTTRAAATCGCTGCTGAAGTTGGAAGCAGACAAATGGTAGGATGAAAGAAAGGCAGGTGACGAATGAGCCGAAGACGATCGAGCAGCTCTTTGAATTTTCTTTGGCTGATATTTTTT